TACCAATACCTAAAGCTTAAAAAGCTGAAAAAAAGTTTCGTAAGAGTAATATTTTTATTGTTAGAAAAATTAATATAAGTTGGAATAATCGATTTTTTTCTCTTTTTGTTAAACGAATCGCAAAATGTCTTATTGACTTGTCTTATTGCGAAAATAAACCTCGAAATAATTAATAATAACAAAGGGCAGTACTATAAAATCGGTATCGTGCAAAGGTCAAGAGGTAACTGATGGTTAAACAAAATTTAAAAATAACATTCAGAGAGAAAAGTCTGATAAAACACGAGTGGCGAGTGCATGTTTGAAGATGAAACTGCCGTTATTCTATTTATTTTAAATTTTTTTCTCTACGAGATAACGACGCTGATCGATAATCCGGATTTTCCGTTAACAAAAGAGCTCGAAAGCCTCTCGGGGATGTATGCAATTGCAAATATTTGATTTGTAACAGTGCAATGTTTGAACAGTGAACACACAAAAATAGGAAAACGTGAAACATGACGTAATAGCGTGGTGCTAATAATTCCCTTTGCAATATTTTTAACAAAAATCAATAAATTATCCCCCACGTTTAGGAAAACAGATTGTTGGCATACCATATTTAATTTTATGCGGTCACAGCAACTATCGTTACTCATTTGTGCGAAAAGACTTTCTGAGACTTTCTATTGACCGCGAGTACCGATGACGAAGCATCTATACAATTATTTTATTTACCTTTCAATATTTCCGAATAGCGAAAATAATTTCGTATAATTATTAATTTTATATTAAATTTAGTTGACGTTGCATACGTGTCAGTACAGAGAGTTATTTTATCGAGGTTAATTTTCGCGACAAACCAAATATCCATCCATTCGATACTCTCTTTGATATTTTTCTATTACGCAATTTTCGCGAATGGCGTTAATACGCTAACAGCATGCAAATTGCATAATCGCATCTGTGTGTTAATTAATACGTCTGAATCAGCTTTGTGCTTGGAGATTCCCAACTAATGGGTAAGCTCTCGAATTTCATGACGCATACTTGCCTATATGTATAACATGGCGATACTTCGTGTAGCGTGTTCGACGAGATAAAAATAAAATCTGAAATTAACTATTCAACGCTTTATAACAATCCTAAATTAAAATTATTGAAATTAAATGATGAATATAGTTCTTAAAATAATACAAATACATTTTTCTTCCGATAAGCCATATTTTATATCTGCATAATTTAAAACAAATAAATTACAGAAGTAGAATATTTCGTACAAATTGTACAGAAGCAAGTATGTTAGAAAAAGGAAATACAATGTCAATGTTGAAAAAAAAAAAAAAAAAATATTTGTTCTGTGCAACAAATCCATTACTCGTGTACCACACGTTTTCGAATGAAATTGAAAACTTTTCGCGATACAAATCGACGTCGATTCATACGTGTGGGGCACAGCCGGTCCTCAAAAATTGAGAGCTCCCCGCACAGCATAACTATTTGCATGTTGGCACTGTAACTGTACGCTATTGCAGCAATCGCCATGACGGTTTGCGCCGTTACGCGGTGCAGTTCTATGGTTGTAATCGAAATGGTTGCACCTCGGGGAATCGTGCGGTTTTCGCCGCGCACTGTTTGTACGATCTTCCGCGGGGGGCGTATTATGCACCAGCCAAAAACCACAGACGACGAACTTCGCGGACCCGGTCATGATTAAACCAGTATTAAACCCGAGCTCCGGAACGCGGATACCGTTGGTACGGCGACGACGTCGAAGTGCTCGTGTTACAACAAACTTCAGCTATGAACTCTACGAATCTGCCAAGTGCATTTGCGATCTACCAGGATCGTTCTTCTTGAAGTAGTTTCTACTAGAGATCAGCAATCGCGTGTTAATATTTAAATCGAACGGCGCCGATCGACAAGCGCGACACATTTCGAGATCTTTTTTAAGAATCAACGATGTAAAAACGGTTAATGTGATTCCATTAAAATACCAATGCTGCAAACGTGATTTGTTAAATCAAAATTTGAAGCGACCGTATCGATTTGGAGAAATGATTAAGTATTCTTATCGTTCGTATTAATCGAAAAGTCAAAGTTCACGCGTCAAGAGATATCCTTCATGCTCTAAATTTAGATACTGTTCCTAGTCTAGAGAATCCATCGTTAAATTTACAATCAAGCAAATTTTCCATGGGAATAGGCGGTAACGTTTCTATATTTACCATTGAATTTGGCCCGCTTGGAATTGATCGCGATCAACTCAGTTAACCGCATTAAATCCCACGGGAATAGCCGGGTTTACTGGTCAACCTGTAAATTCGTACGCAATGAAGATCGCAAAATTTACGGAAGATACGTGTAAGCACGTCCCAGTATAAAATCGTCTCACCGTAACTTTCGAAACGACCGATTCCCGCAATCGGAGAGAAATATTTAAAGTTTCGAGCACCGGAACGCTCGAAAAATAAATAGCAGCCAGTTAAATTTTCAATAAAAAGGAAGAAAAACTTTCACGCGCGTGAAAAAAATATATGGCTTCGGAAAAAATTCGCAAATTCCAATATAGCTCTAAAACGCTAAAACCATACATTTATTTGTTTTTTGATTATTATAAATAGAATAAGATATTGTTCACTAAAAAAAAATTTACTAAATCTTAATACATATTTCTTTGAATGGTACTAAGTAAACATTTGCTGACAGTAAATATTTACTCAATAAAAAAATAATAGTTAAATCAAATAAATATCTTTTTGGTTTTTAGATCAAATAAATATCTATTTGCATTTAGTAAATATTTATTTAGAACTATTCAAACCAAATATTATATTTATACATTAAAATCTAGTATTTTTTATTGAGCAGAGGGCAACTTGGAAATTGTTAGCACGCTAATAATATTTTATATGTAGTTGACATTTAATTAGTTCTTTGTTCTAGATTTACAATCAGTATCTCGATCTGATTGTACATGTCATATGAGATGACAGAAATTTTTAGTTGCTCCCACGGCAATTTGCCTTAATTTCACAACTCTTCTTTGTCTTCCTCTATTTCTCTCAGTTTCGTAAAATAATTTCTTAAAATAATCGCATAGATCACAATTTATTTTTTCCCCGTTTTCTCCTTTCTTTGTTGTACCCGATAAATATTGCGAGCAAATGTAAAAAGGCACTCTCGAAAAATTCACATAATAATCGAACAACAATACCTAAAATTCCGTTCATTCCTTTTAACTGTCAACTTCATTATCGATGACAGGATTTTAATTAGGAGTCAACTTCACATACTCTCTGATCAAAATACGGAATTTATGTTATGTACGGATATTAATCCCAAATAGGCAAGTTTGACCGCAGACTGGTTGTTCGATGACATTCCGCGACGAATGGTTTAAAACCCATTAGGGTCAGGATGGATTAAGAGGAAGTGACCAGAGTCCATTTAGCGCGTGTTTAATCGATTGCTGACTACTCGAATAACCGCGGTGGAAATTGACTTACCGACAGCCCTCTCTGCACCACTTCTCCATACCCTTCTCTCAATCGCCTGCGATCTCTTATTATATATGAGCGTATAATAAAAATATATGTACTGAAAGATGCAGTAAAAGTGTATATTTCATGCACACGCGTTTCGTGGAGTAGCCAAATTTTTTATCAAGTTTTACTGAAATCTCATTTCAGCGACTACTCCGGCTACGAAAAGTGAGTTTTCTCTTATAAAACACATGGATTCCTTGAAATAAAAGTTTCTGAAGGTTTCAATGTGTAAATCATTTGACAGTCAGGTAATATTTAAAAATATATTTTTTCTTTCTGTACAGTTTTTGGTGGTATAAGTTTAACATATATATTTTGTATTTTATATAACTGTAAATATATTTTTATTACAATATTTTTGTGACGTATTTAACAAAAATTACACTTCGATGATGGATCCGTTACTATACATTTTATTTCTGAACATGCTCCATACTTGACTAACAGTTAATTAAGGAAGGAAACTTTTCGGGATATCTATCGAACTCACGTGGAAAACGAGAGGAATGTGAAAGGAGCGAAAAGGACGAGGCGCAGAAGAGAAGCCGGTTAATACCTTCGGAACTCTGCTAACAAATTGCGGAAACGAGTTCGGATTATTATCGACGATTTTCCTGAAACTTCCTGAGTGGCGTTGAAATCGTTGTACAGAGTTAGGATATCAATGGAATTCATTGTGAAATTTATTCATATTAAACACAACGGTGTATATCTTATGGCATATAAGCGCTCTTATAAATAATACGATTTTGTGAATATAAAATGCTTGCGAGATGAATACGCATGGTGAATGAAAATGACTTTGCGAACTTTGCACAAACATGTTTTTTTTATATCTCGATCCTTTGAAGAATTTTTCTAAGTTAAAAAAATATATTTTACACAAAATTTCAAGTTAAACACTTTACACGAAGAACCAGGCATTCAAATTTTCGCAAACATCTCACTTTTTTTTTATCTATTTCGATTATCGGTATAAACTGTGCAAAACCATAAATTGCGCAAGAAGAAGAAAGCATGAATTTCAACAGAAAAGAATAGAATTGTGCACCAATAACGCAAGCTTTCAATATAAAATTTCAGTCAGATATATATATATATATACTGGATACTAATGATATCTGGATATCCGATCGGATAGTAAAGTACCGGATAATACTGGATACCAATGCATCCCCACTTGTCAATTAATCCTAAAAGCTCTACAAGATTCGATGAGTTATATTAAATATATATATATATATATATACATTTTTGCACACCGAAGAAATATCAACTTATAATAAGTATTTTTGTGAATTGCACTTGCAATGGCATTAAATAATATGCGATATACAGTTGTACATGTATTTATAAACAAAAAAAAGAAACGAAAAGATTCATTTAGTTTTTTTTCCATAGAAAAAGAAATGCTTAAATACTCGTAAAACATTTCCTACATTTTTGCGAAAATTACATAAAAATGTCCAAGTTTTGAAATTATTATCTTAATCGCGATATTACCCCAATCGTGTGTAAAAACAATAGTACGTTACGAGAAAACATGTCACGAAGGTTGAGGTTTCTTCGGTAGCATTGTAACAAGCTCTAATTGGAGACTCCGTGGAATATCAAGATGCAAAGCCTGCGAATCGTACGTAAGACAGTTTTTGATGACTCTCAGTGACAATTGCTGTAGAGTAAACATCGGTAGCACGATGTACACGTTGGTCCTCTCGATTCTTTGCGGCAGTTTGTCCTGCGTAACACCACGGTACTGGAGAAACCACGGCGCCGGAAAGAAAACATCACGCTGGCCCACCAAATACCTGTTTCGTTTTGCCCTAGTCATTATTAATCCGTCTATTTTGATGCCAATATTTCAAAAATATTTCGTACTCTGTGTGTGTGTGTGTGTGCGTGCGTGTGCGTGTGTGTGTTTATGTTTGTGTGTGGACTAATGGACGAATGTCATATAAAATATTTTACTCCCTTGATAATCTCTATTAGAAATACAAATGGAATTAATGGATTATTTAATCCATAAAAACCTAAACTTTATAGATAAAACAATTTGAACAATTAGGCAGATATAAAATAATGCAACTAATCTAGAAATATGAATAATACATCCATCTCTTTTGTAGCATTTTAAGAATCAAATTGTGGTAATAAAAATTGTTTTTAAAAGTAACAGACTGAATCTTTTTATGATCTATCTTTATGGATTATTCTTTTATGATCATTATTGCAAATTATGATCATAAACTATAATAGTGCAAACTATGATTACCCATAATTCAGAAATAATTCATTTCACATCGATTATTGCTAATATAATATCGGCGAGTAAACGATCATTGTCATTACACATACCTGTCGCCCGTTTCTTTATTGACGAAAATCCACGGATGCGTATAAAACGTGTTTATTTCCCTGTAGTCCCCAGATGACAGATCGCCATAATCAATTGCCTGCCCTTGATAATCCATCCAGTATAAAGTAATAGTATGAGGTGTTGTATTAATAAATCTGACGAAGGATTCGTGTTGACTGTTGAGTGACCGAAATACCGGTCCCCGCTGTTGATTTTCATCCATTTTGCGATTTTTATCCGTCTGCTTCCTCTTCTTATATTTGTAATGGAATTTCGAGTCTTTACTAATCTCGCTTGCTTCTTTCACCACAAGAACTGGAATTAAAGATTACGAAAGAAAGTTAATTAAACGGCAGCAATATATATGAGCTCGATAAATGTAAAAACCGTTTTATCTAAATTCTTATTGGGAAATATTTTCATTCTCTTATTTATATATTTTTTTTCTCTTTTTACAAACTATGCGTGTGTCATCGAATATTTTTTACAGATTAATATCTTTATATAAATCTGCGCTTTCAATTTGGCAAACAGAATTTTTTTAATCGCTGTATTTCGTTTCTCGGACTAAAAAAAAAATGTATCGATGACCAATAATCTCCTTAAAGCTTTCATTTACCTTTCAACATTTTTGACAAACTGAACCGAATCCCTCAGGAAAAAAGGTGATATGAAATACACGAAAATCTGGTTTGTCATGGCTAAACAAGCCCATATACATCTATGAAAATCGATTTATCAAGCACGGCTGCATCGCTGGAATTTGAGAAACGAGAGAAAACGGTAAGGAAAATCGATTGCAAATCAAATCCAATTCGAATGAGAAGATATTCCACTGACTTGCGTAGTATTGAAAACATCTAATTTTAAATCCAAGCAGATATATATATATATATATATATATCT